TGTTTGTCCCATCCCACACTCAGGCTGAAATTAAATTTCCATTGTAACAGCAGTAAGAGGTGGAACCTTTAAGAGGTGATTAGGCCTTGAGGCCTTTGCCCTTGTGAATGAATTAATATTATCACAGGAATGAGTTCTTCATTGCAAGGGTTGGTTCCTTATAAAAGAATGAGTTCAGCCCCCTTTTCTCTTTTTTCTTACCCTCTTCTGCCCTTCTCCTTACTGCCATAGTATAGCAAAATAAGAAGGACCTCACCAGATGCTGGTCCCTTGATCTTAGACTTCCCAACTCCCAAGAACTGTGAGGCAATACATTTCTGCTTATTATAAGTTACCCAGTCAGTACTCTGCTATAGCAGCACAAAACAGACTGAGACAGAAAATTATACTGAGAAGTGAGACTGTTGCTATATCAAATGCTTGAAATTGTGGACATGGCTTTGAAATTGGGTAATGGGTAGAAGCAAGAGAATTTGGAGGAACAGGCAAGACAAAGCCTAAATTGCCACTAATGGAACATAAAGAGTGATTCTAGTGAGGGCTCAGAAGAAGGGGAGAGATACAGGAAGTCTGAAATTTCTTAGTGATTACTTAAGTGGTTGTGATCAGAATGTTGGTAGAAATATAAATGTTAAAGGCAATTCTGATGAGGTCTCAGACTAAAATGAGGAACAAGGTATTAGAAACTGGAGCAAAGTCTATCCTTGTTTCAAAGTGGCAAAGAACTTGACTGGATTGTGTCTATGCCCTAAGTCTTTATGAAACTCAGCATTTAAGAATGATGAACTAGAATACGTGCTGGTAGAAGTTTCTAAGCAAAATATTGAAAAAATGGCATGGTTTCTTTTAACTACATACAGTAAAATGAGAAAAGAGAGAAATGATTTAATAATAAAATTTATAATTAAAAGGGAAGCCAAATGTAAAAATTGGAAACATTCTCAGTCTGTTCATGTAATGAATAAAAAAGTGCGTCTGAGAGAGAATACCAAGAATAAAAGGAAGTCAGGTACTATTAATCAAGACTATGGGAGAATAACCCCAAAGGCATTTTAGAGATCTTCAAGGCTGTCCCTCCTATAACAAGCTTGGAATGTTTGGACCTTAGGGCAGAAAGGGTTCACTAGCCAGAGTAATGGCTCACACCTGTAATTCCAGCATTTAGGAAAGCAGAGTCAGGAAGGTTGCTTGAGCCCAGGAGATGGAGACCAGCCTAGGCAACACAGTGAGATCTGTTCTTTACAAAAAAAAAAAAAATTAAAAAATGAGCAGGATGTTGTGGTGCATGCTTGAAGTCCCAACTACTTGGGAGGCTGAGGTGGAAGGATAACCTGAGCCCAGGATGTCAAGACTGCAGGTATGTGTGATCATGCCACTGCACTCCATCCTGGGCAACAAGAGTAAGATCCCAGCTCAAAAGAAAGGAAAAACAAAGAAAAAAAGAAAAGAAAAGAAAGTACTCACTGCCCAGACCTGTTTTGAGTTTTGTCTCATCACCTCACATTTCAGTGACACTGTGCTAATTATATAGGCATGCAGAGTGCAAAAGCTGTGGAGCCATGGTAGCCTTTATATGGATTTCAAAGGATGTCATGGATAGCCTCGAGACCCAGGCAGAGACTTGTCAGAGAGTCAGTGAAAACAGAGAGCTCTCACCAGGGCAATGTCCAGAACTGTGGAGTCAGAGCTGCTGCAGAAAGTCCCCACAAGGCCTAATGGAAGCCTGTGGGAGAAACTACCCCAAAGATCTCAGAACTATAGAGGCACTAGCATGCAGCTGGGCCTGGGAGAGCTGCAGGCAGGATATTTCAATCTGTGCAAACTGAGACCAGCAAAGTCATGGGGGTGGGGCTGCCTGAGGCCCTGGGGGCCCAACCCCCATTCAGTCTGTCCAGTAGGCAGGGCATAGAGCCAATGACTGTTTGAGATCTTTAAGATTTAATGTTGGTCATTGCCAGGCCATTGTGGCCATTGCCTTACTAAGCTATGGTGTGATCATGTGCTCTTTGAGCTACGCCAGGCCATGTTTCCTGGCTTTGGCCCTCTCCCTGCCTTGGGGAGGTGAATCTCCTTTCTCTCTCTCTCTCTAATTTACTTTCCAAATAAACTATATTTTCTAAACTTAAAAAAAAAGATGTAATCTTTTTTGTCTTGTTGGATTTTGGACTTACTTGTGATGGGTTACCCCTTTCTTCTCGCCTATTTCCCCCTTTTGGAATTGGACTGTCTGTCCTATGCCTGTCTCACTGTTGTATTTTGAAAGTCCATAACTTGTTTGGATTTGATGGGTTTCGGATGGATGGGAATTTGCCTCAGGGTAAATTGTACCTTGAGTCTCAACCATATCTAAGTTATATGAGTCTTTGGACATTTGAGTTTATGCTAGAATGAATTAGGATTTGAGGGCTATTGGAATGGAGTAAATGTATTTTGTGTGTAAGAAGGACATGAGTTTTGGGGAAGACAAGGGGGAAAATGCTATAGTTTAAATGTTTGTATCCTCCTAAACTCAGGTTGAAATTTAATTGCTATTGTGACAGTAGTAAGAAATAAGACTTTTAAGAGGGGATTAGTACATAAAGTTTCTGCCTCATAAATGGATTAATGTCGTTATTGTGGGACTGGGCTCATTATTGTGGGAGTGAGTTCCATATAAAAGGTCAATTTTAGTCCCATTTTTTCCTCTCTTGCCCTCTCTTGCTCTTCTGCCTTCCAGTATGAGATGATGGCACAACAAGGAGGCCCTCACCAGATGCCATTCCCTTGATCGTGGACACTCCAGCCTCCAGAACTGTGATTCAATAAATTTCTGTTCATTATAAATTACCCAGTCTGTGGTATTTTGTTATATGAGCACAAACTGGACTAAGACAGGGACTATCGAATGAGGTTGCATTTGGAGAAGAAGCTGAAGAGGGCAAAGAGGAGTTCAGTTTTGGGCCTATTCACTGTGAAGTTCTTGTGGGACATTAAAATGAAAAGAAAATAGTAGGATATACATGTTTAAAATGTAAAATATCATTCTGAGCTGAAAATATAGATGGGTAGTCATCAGCTGACGGAAACTACACATGAATTTTTGCAAAGAGAATGTGTAAAGCAATAAAAGAATAGGGAAGAACTTTACAAACATGAGTCAAAAGTAGCTTGGTGAATTGCAGATTCTGTATGGGCTAAAAAAATGTGAGTTACTTTCTCAAATTCTAAATTACTTTACCCATTGGGGAAATAACTATATACCTTACTTTCCTGATAGCTTTCTTTTGGGATCAAGCCAAAATATATATACTGGAAGCCTTTTCCCTGAAGAATTCAAATACCTTAATGAAGTAATTATATTTAAAAAAAAACTGATTTGCTTGAGGCATCAAGGAGTATACAAATGTGAAGAGAGGGGTCTGTCAGAAAGATTAGTGTGCATAGAATAGACCAGTGCCCTGAAGCGCTTGTTTTTACCATGAACAAGCTTTCTACTTAGCTTCTTTTTAGTTTACATTCCCTAAACTTATCAAATTAAGCTCTGATCTTAATTTGGTTTTACAAAGAGGTCACTCTTTGGGTATTTCCCACTGAGATCTAATGATTGACTCTCTGATATCAAGTGATTAATTCTTCCCAAGCCTAATCTGTCCTTATTTAATTGAATAGATACAATATCTGTGTTTGGAGAAAAAATTATAAACCTTGCTACTGAGAGGAGGTAATAGTAACCGTGAGAACTTTTTTAAACATCGGTCCCTTATTCAAGTTTGCTCTTTCTCCATCAGAGTCTTTTAAATAGGGTCCTAAATGGTAACTCACCAATTTTAGGTTGACTCTTCCATGGTCAATTGAACATCTGGTGTCTGGAGTTTGGGACTAGAGTTGCTCTCTTCCCCAGGGACACTGGCTTAAATCAAGCTTCACAGGAGTTTTTACGCTTTAATCTCTAGCTCAATTTCAAAATTTACTTGGTTTCTCAATTTCCATATATCAGTAGCTCATTCCTCCTAAGACTTACTGCTCTTTGTTCAAAATTTGTCTTTTCCCCCTCAATGGTGGCCCTTGCTTCTTAATAAAAATCACCTAACTTATTTTTTCAGTCATTCATGTTGCTTTTTGGAAATCACTTATTTTTCACTGTTGTCTTTCTCATCATTGCACAGGTAGTATTTTTGTTTCTGTTTTCTGATACAATTCAAAATAAGTACCCAACAATTCTTAACTTACCACAACATGCACAAGGTAACTGTACATTATGCAAAGGAAGTCATCATTCAACAAATATCTATTCGCTCCCTATTATACCACTTGGTTCATCAAATAAGAAAAACAAAGTCTTTGTCCTTGTGGAGTTAGACTAATTTGAGGACAAACATTAAAAAACTAGTTACATAATTTGTATTTTTTATTTATAATTGGAATAAATGCTAATGAAAAAAACAAGGGGTTAAAAGAGTGGATAATAAGGAAATAAGACTTAGTTTGAGGAGATATTGTCTCTAAGAGTTGTTAATTTCCAAAGCTATATTATGGGAAATAAAGTTATGTGTCATATTACCCCACACAAATTTTCTCATTGGGTGCATGGAGTGTGAGATACAATGATGGCACCATGGACAACTATAACTCCATCATGAAGCCCAAAGTGACTTTATCAGATTAAAGGTGGGGCAACATGTAATCTGATAAGATTGAAAGATATTTCTTGGATAGAGTTCTCAAAGTAGACTGATAAATTCCAGCTACAAATCAGTACTTTTTTTTTTTTTTGTCTAATCTCTTGGTTAGTAACTAACTTTGTGTCTGTGGACAAATCATTTAATTTCACCAGACCTCAGGTTTCTCATCTTTAAAGTAGAAGACTGAGCCAAGCCTGTGAATTTAGTTGGTATTTGTCATCTTTGATCTCCCCAAGCCCCAGTTTAACAGGATTGGAAAAATAAATCTTCATTATCCATCAAGTGTCACCACTCCATCATTACAGCCAACAGTAGTTTTAAAAATAATGTAATTCATACCTTTTGTGAATGCTTCCCCAAGAGGCATTGATGTTCTCTGTTATCATGTGTACTTTTCTTGTATCATCTGTAGAATAATCCCGGAGAAGTTTCAGGGCCAAGTCATTTGCCACATCTACATTTATCTGCCACTGGCGGAGGTCTTTGGCCAACTGCTATAGATTTGTTTAAGAAAGAGAATGAGTGTCAGTTTTATTCTGAAATCTCTAGCTGAAAGTTTCTTAAAATACTTTCAAAAATAGTTTCAGAATTCTCAGGTCACAAGACGTCTATATGATTTCTTTTAACCTGCCATGTGATTTAGTCAATCGTGACAGGATAAGCTAACCTACTTTTAATGACAAAATTTTTCAAATGCAGTACCTTGAGCAGTAACCAGTTATCAGGTATTTCAGTTTAGTAGTAATTAATTGTTTTTATCACAAGACAGAGCAAACTATACAAATAATTTTTAGTACGTGACATATAACAAAATTTGAAGATTAAAAAAATCTCATGCATTTCTTTCACTCTTTATTAACTTGTTGAATTGTTTATGTAATTAGTGCCATCTACTGGCATTCAACTAAACCTGCATACAGAAAATATTGAACAAAAGAACAGTGCTGTTATTGTAGTCATTAACTTTTTTGAAGGATTAAAATATTTTGAATATATTCTACGTTAAAATTAGAATAAATGTCAAAATATAAGAATCTTGCTAAACCAAATCACCAATGTTTTCTCCTTTGTCTTTGGTAGTGAATTGTTATCAAACTAGCCCTTTCATTACTTGAAAAATATTTCAAAGAAAGAAGTTGACCAACAAAAGGTTTTATTTAGGAACATATCAAACTGAAATTTTTATTAAACATTCTGCAAGTTCATGGAAGAGCTTCTCAGCATTAGGATAATATTAAGTTTTGTAAGATAACTGTATCAAATATCACATTGTGAGTTAAGTCATTAACAAATGAACATAAGACTAGGAGCAGGCAATTCAAACAAGAGAAAAGAAAAACAATTATAAAAAAAGAAAAAACTGGTCCATTGCCTTGCTAGAGTCTGATGTGGCCATGTGCTCTTTGAGGCATGGCTGTCGCCATGCTTCCTGGCTTTGGTCCCCCTCCCCCACCTTGGGGAGGTGAATCTTCTCTCTTCCTTCTCTTTCTCTCTTTAATTTACTTTTAAATAAACTTTTCTTCCTTAACCTTTTGTGTGTCGCAATTCTCTCGGGGTTGCCGGCGCGCACTTCTGGCTTGCCAGCCCCGGCAGTGCTGTGCGCCTCCCTGCATCTCTCCTCTCTCACCCGGTTCGTCCGTACCCTAACGTTTTTGGAGGTTCCACTGAGATCTCTCTCTCTCTCTCTTTCATATTTCCTAACTGGTGACCCTCTGTGAACTGTGTTGAAACTTGGTGGCAATTGAAGGCTCTGGCTGAGGCTACACTTCAGCATGCTGAAAGGCTCCAAGGAAAGACATCAGATCGCTGTGGCCCGACTGGGTGAGGGACTAAGGCTAACTCTTTGCTTCCTTCTAGCCAAGATCTGTAAGTTTCCCCGTGGACTGAGCTGGATCTCGGAGGACAACTGATGGTCTCTGCCTAGGGCTACTCCCCAGGGAGGCAAGAAGGTCCCCGAAGGAAAGTTCGGACCGCAAGCATCCGTACGGGTGGGAGATGAAGTGCTTGGTTTTCTTTACTCCTTTCCTCTCTGGCTGGCGAAGTAACCCCACGAAGGACCTTGAAACTCCAACAGCTGCATGGTATGCCTTTCTGCACCTTTGGTAAGTCATCCCCCTTTTTTTCATCCACATACACATATTTGAATGGTGTTCTTGGACTGCCCTTTGTTCGGATGACTTTCTGGGTCTCTCGGGTTTCCGGTTCCGTCTTGGAAGACTCCTAGCAAGGGTCGGGGACCTAGTTGCTCAAAGTCCTGGTACCAGGCCTTCCAAGACATGGTGGAGCATGCATCCGGCAAGCTCCAGTGAGCACAGGGATGGGAGGACGCTCTCTCCCTGCTGACTCTCATCCTCTGCGCTGATTCCTTTGAACCTGTTGGGGATGCCCGGCAGGGGATCTGAACGGGACAAGGCCCAGAAAACATCCATGATACCAAGAGCCCATGCCAATAGTACCCGTTTCCTTTTGCGCGCTCTTGGCCGTCTGTTTGGATGACTTTATGGGTCTTTCATAAAGCCCAGAAACATCCATGATACCAAGAGCCCATCCCAACTGTCCTTTTACTACAATACTGCTTTGCAGCCCTGGCACCGGGTCTGGCTCACCTTGCCCCAGCTGACTTTTTCATCTGGTGAACAAGAACGGGGAAATTCCACAATATAAGATATTCAGGCCTTTTATGAGTTAGTTCCCACCCAGATGTTTGTTCTTCTTGCAGCATTTCTGTGTTGTCTCCCCAGACCCCATTGCCCATAGGCTCACCAGTATTACAACTCCAATTCCTGCCTTCAAACTATCAACTCAAAGTCTAACCCAGCTGGTTTCACTCCTCCTGTCTCTTATAATCTGCTTTTGCTATGCCATTCTCCATTCTCTTCTCGTCCTCCACCTTTACCTGTGGAGGAGTGGCTGGCGTATCCGCCCGGGTGCCTAACTCTGGCCTCCAGTCTTTCTCCTTTGTCTTTGGAGGAGGGGCCGGTGCCAAAGGCCGTGGCACCTAACCCCAGCCTCCAGCCTTCTCGCCCTTCTTTCCCCCAATGCTTGATAACTCCCTGGTGGCAGCCCTACTAGCTGCAGCAAGTCACCACTCCCCCACTACATGTTCTTGGGAAGCCCATTCAGGTTTCCACATAGCTTAATAGGCCTCTACTCAGGGGGGTGGCTGAAACAAAAGGATATCAAAGTTCTTATTTGGTGTTTTCTTATGATAAATCTCTTTCAAGTTATATCTAAACTGGGACTATATCAACCATCCCAGACAAAAGTAAAGGGATTATGTAAATCCTGTTAACTAACTACAAAAAGGTCAATTGTAATTTTAATGTTTTTCCAACCAAACTTGCAAGTGTTCTAGTAAAATATTACTTCCAACTTTACCATGTGTTAACATTAGTGCTAAATAACACCAATTTGTTATATCTGGCTCACTAGCTAAAGTTGTATTTTATAAACAAAAGGTTAAATTACCTGTTGTGCCCGACTAACACCCTCTTCTGAGAAAGGTAAAACTTTAAATGCTAAACACCCTGTGTGATATGATAAGGTTTAAAAACTTACCATTCCTACCTGGTTAAGTCACTTTTACTAAGCCTAGTACCTCTGCCAGACAGGTAAAATACTGGGAACTCTGTGTGAGCACAATAAGGATGGAAACTGATCACTCTCACCTAATTGTCCACATCTTAATTCATAAGGGTTTTTTTTTTAACAACTTTGCCTGTTCATAATTACAAATAAGTAGGCACAGATCATTTTACATCCATGTGGTCTATTCACTTCAAAGGGTTTTATATCAAACCGTTACAGACAAATAATCAAAATGTCCTATGTGTAACCTATTGAAAAGAAATTTTGAGGTTTTTTTTTCTAGCTAAAACACTAGAAAAACAACAGGGAACCAACAAGGAGGGCAGCAGAACCAGAGGGTTAAAGAGGCACCGCAATTGGCAGTCACCATTAGTGACAAAACTCCAACTGCCCGTCAAACACCTGGTAAGAACAAGCCGGCTAAGGGGATGGTGCCCATTGCTTATGGGTACAGTCTATGGGGGCACTGAAAGCATAGTTGCCCCCAAAAGGCCTTAACTTCCTGTCCACTGTTCAGGCCAAAGATCCATTGGGAAGCACATGCACTCTCTTCTGAAGAGAGGGGAGAACACTTGGCTCACAAATGGTGGCCACTTATGGAGGTCTGCAAATCTACTAAACTGCTTGGCACTGGCTCACCATCACCCCAACAATCCCTCAGGTAAACAGGGCACTGGAACCCAAATTAATTTCTCAATTTAACACAGGTGCCAGCCTTTTGGTCCAGGCTATCCATGTTGAAATCATAGAGCCTTATCCAAAAGAATTTTCTCCTTTAAACAAAACAGAGGGGGGAAGAAAGAGACAAAATTCAACTAGCCCTCACCCACTGTCTTTGTTACAAAAAAGTGAGGTACTTTCTCCCCCACTGTCTTTGTCACAAAAAAAGCGAGGTTTTTTTTTTCTTTTCAAAATCTTTGGACTATCATTTTGGCTAAATAAGTGACTTTTACAGTAACTACTGTGATTTTGTGTTATAACATTATGCTTTAAAAAACTTTAATACTTAAACTCTTAAAAGTTCTCAATTCAGTCTCTCTAGGGTGAGATGAGAAGCAAGCTCCAGGAACCACACCTGCCCCACACCCTCCTCCTGAATTCCCTGCAGACCAGGTACAAAAATTACTATCCAACATAGAATGAATGGCAAAATAACCTGGGCTTCACCCTCTATCATATCAATTGTTGTAAAAGTATATCAGATCTATTATAAAAAAAAAAAAGGAAACCGTTTTCTCTTGCCAATGTTTACCTGTTTTGAATTTTCAATTTAAGCTTCAACCTAACTACATTTCTAATGTTTTCAATTTTTCTTTCTTCAGACTTTGTCAAAGTGGCTGTATTTCCTTGTTAAGGTATAACTATAGATAACCTGCAAGAGAATATTTCAACTTACGTTAATGAATTAGAAGCTTTGGCTAACCATACATATGATGTACAGGACTACTTTCACTTTTTCAGAATTGCTTTCGAACAGTAACTTTTTTCATTATTGTTTATTTGGATCTAATGAAACATCGAGCGAGAGCACAGGCAAAAATTATTAAGCAAATGATATTTGTTAAGGTTCTGCCATTTCCTGTTTGTGCCCTTGGAAATAGATAGGTAGGGACATTGCTATGGCCCCATCTCAGCAGAAAGTAGATACAGAAGAAGGATCTTCGCCCCATTTCCCAGGATCATAAGAATATTTCCAAGAGCAGGAGTGGGGAATGAAAGGACAGACCAAGAGTGGGAAGTCATTTTTCATCTTGTTCTTAACCTCTGACACAATGATGAGAAAATAGAAGCTGTGCTTTTGGAGAAATGCACACTTTGGTATAATTAACTTTACTGATTTTGTCTTTTCAGAAACAGACTTCCAGGTATCTGAGGTATCTCATAGTGGCAATCAAGCTTGCCTAGA